AAATAGAAGGCAGGCCTGTGGGCATATGCCTGTAATTCCAGCACTTGGGAGAGCGCAAATTCATCCTCCATTCTGGGTTCTTCTTTACATTAGCATCCTAACTAATGCATGATGTAACTGCAGTAATAAAATCTACGTCATCTTCACCTACATCAGCCCCCCACCAAGGCTCAAGAACCATCACAGAAGGGGTGCACGGAGATTGTAAGAACCAAATGTCATGGAGGACTGGCATGGAAGTGTCTTCTGGACAAGACGGAACCACTGATTGAACTCATGAACTCACGGCTGCTGTGGCTGCCTGCACAACATCGTCCAGTCAGCGCTCCGGTGTGGAGCAGAGCGGGAGGGGTTTGTGAACCCCTACCATAACTGAGGGGCGATGGCAGTTGATGGCAGTTTTCTTCAAGGCTCTAGCAGGTTGTCCACTCTTGGCGGACAGCCCCACTCCCAGGACTTGATATGCCAATTGAAGTTGATGGGTTATATGCATAAAAAGAGAGACACAAAGTTGAGGGAGATGTGAGGATGAGGGGTGGATTTTGGAGAAATTAAGGAGAGGAGTTAAGGGTAAGCATGATCAAAATATATTGTATAAAATTCCCCAATAATTAATGTTTTAAAAATAGATCACCATTTGAAAATTATGAGGACTGATTACACAATAGTCATCAATAGATAATGCTGGGTAGAGCCGGGCGAGTAGAACATCAGTGGAAACCAGGCTCTGAGGTTAATGAATTGAAGAGTAATCAATCTCTTCATAGTAGTTCCCCAGAAAATGTTTGTATTTCCAAAGACAAATGCTGTGATGTTGAAATTAGCAAGCTCATGACAAGCGGCAGGCAGTGAAAGAAGCCAGTAGACACCGTCTGGACGAGGTTGATCAAAGCCAGCGTCACTGTTAAGATGGGAAGATGTTACTTCTGACGAAATACACTCAAAACACAGCAGAGGGCTGGACCGGTGGCTTGGCTGTTGAGAGTGGGTATTGCTCTTCCAGAGGACCTGAATTCAGTTGCTGGTGCCCACATCTGGTGGCTCACAACTGCCTGGAGCTCCAGTTCCATAGGGATCCAAAGCCTTTGACCTCCACATTAATGTACATAGAGACAAGTGTGTGTGTGTGTGTGTGTGTGTGTGTTTGTGGGGGGAGGGAGAAAAAGAGAGAGAGGTGTTCCCACCAAGAATTTCTAATCCTGGGAAACACTGTATAGATCCAGGCTGGAGGACATCCTGCGTCTAAGACTATACTCAATATTGTCAAGTCACAAATGACAAGGTGAGGAGGAAACTGAGGAGCCTGACTTTCCCCTCAAGGCGTCCATCATCATGTACATAATAGCAATCTCCTTCACTGTCTTAGTTTGGGTTTTATTGCTGTGAAGAGATACCATGGCCTCTAGACTGGATGATAGTAATAGGGCCTGCAATTTGTTCTCAAACTGGTCAGAAAAGGAGTAATAATAGGGGGATAGAGAGACGGCTCAGAGGTTTAGAGCACTGGCTGCTCTTCTAGAGGTCCTGAGTTCAATTTCCAGCAATCACATGGTGGCTCATAAGCACCTATGAGATCTGGTGCCCTCTTCTGGTATGCAGGTGTACATGCACACAGAACATTGTATACATTTAAAAAATTAATAATAGTGGCAATAAATATGAGGAAATGTTATCTTTTGTCTGCTTGCTTTGATTTTTGAGACAGGATTTTGCCATGTAGACCATGCTGGCCTTGAACTTGTCCAGTCCTCTTGCCTCTGTCTTCTGAGTTCTGGGATTACAGGCACATGCCTGGCCTGGTTTTCTGTTCGTTTGCTTGTTTTATCATTTTTTTTAACCTTTTACTTTGCTTTGTGGTATAGGTGTTTTGCCTTCATGTGTGTTTGTGTACCGTGTGCATGCAGAGTTTGAGGAGGTCAGAACAGGACATCAGACCCCCTGGAACTACAGATGGCTGTTAACCCCCATGTGGGTTCTGGGATTCTAACTCTGTTTCTCTGGAAGAGCAATTCATCCTTCTTAACCACTGAACCAACCATCTAACCACCTAGCCTGTTTGTTGACTCAGTGTCTGGCCTCTAAATGAACTAGTGATCCTCTTGTTGGACCTCCCAAGTACTGGAGTTGCAGCCAATGTTCCTGGCTAGACTATGGGTCAATGTCAACAGCTACAGAATCTGGTTTCAATTGGCAAGAGAGCTCTTTTTACTGTTCTTGCACTATTTTTCTATGTATCTTACTCACCATCCTATTGCTGTGAAGAGACACCATGAGCAAGGCAACTCTTATTAAGGAAAGTATTTAATTTGGGGCTTGCTTAAAGTTTCAGAGGTGTAGTCCATCATTTGGCTCATCGTCACAGCTGGAATTAAGTTGGCAATCAGCAGGCATGGTTTGGGAGATCTGCCTGCCTCTCCCTCCCCGAGTGCTGAGATTACAGGCCCCTTGTTCTTTTAATCCTTTCAAAAAGTTCCACGCCTGAAGGGAGTGGGGGTGGCGGAGGCCTGAGTCCAGGACAAGCCAGGGCTATTCCACAGAGAAATCCTGTCTTGGAAAACAAAATAAAAAGAAAAAGAAAAAGTTCCACTCCTTTGTAAGCATTCATGGGGGCTACTCCTATTCGAACAACACCAGAATTTTATTTTATTTTTTTCACAAAACTGTAAAACAAGGCTTAAGAATTCCTTCAAAAGGCAAAATTCCTTAGCCTGTAAATTTCCACCACACTAAACAAGGCAACAAAACAAAACAACAACAACCAAACCCAAGCTAATTTTCATTTACTTCCTCCCTTTGGACCTCAGGGTACAGAGGAAACAGCCCAGACTAGAGTCAGGAAGCTTCCACTGTGCTTTCTCTGCTTCTCCCCGTGTGTCTCCCTGAGCCTCCGTTTTCTTATTTTTAGGATAGAAATAACAGCACCTTCCTTGCAGAACAGCCATGGGTTAAACACCCCGGTATGTCCTAGAAAGGCCTTCCTAAGTTAGTCTTCTAACACGCAGGCATCACCCTACCCAGCCCACTGCCCCTGGCATGCCCAGGAAACTGAAAACAAAATAAAAACTGGCTGGGAATGCTGGTAGGCACGAGCCTGTCCTGCTCACGGGGAGCACAGGCTCCATCCCCAGCACTGCATGAAACCCAGTGTGGTATTGCATATCTGTAATTGCTGCCTTGGGAGGTCTAGGCAGTAGACACAAGAATTCAAAGCCAACCTTAGCTATACTGCAAGGTTGAAGCCAGCCTGAAATAGATGAGATCTTGTCTAAAAATGTAAATAAATTAGGCCAGGTGTGGTGGTGCACACTTTGAATCCCAGCAAGCAGGAGGCAGAGGTTCACTCAGGTGAACCTCTGAGTTTGAGGCCAGCCTGGTCTACAGTATAAATTCAAATCTAGACAGTAAAAGAACCTTAACTCTAACTTCTAAAGATAATCAACATTAATGGAATGTTGTATATTCCTCAATGTTTTCCTTTTTTTCTATTTTTTAATTTTTTTTTCCAAACAGGGTTTCTCTGTGTAGCCTTGGCTTTCCTGGACTCACTTGGTACACCAGACTAGTTTCTCTCTCTTTTCTCTCTCTCCCTTTCCAGAGCTGAGGACCGAACCCAGGGCCTATGAGCTTGCTAGGCAAGTGCCCTACCATTGAGCTAAATCCCCCCCCCCCCCAGGCTTGTCTCAAACTCACTGCTTCTTTTGCTGGGCGTGGTGGTGCACACTTGTAATCCTAGCACTCGGGAGGCAGAGGCAGGCAGATCTCTGTGAGTTTGAGGCCAGCCTGGTCTATAAGTGAATCCAGAACTACAAGGCTACACAAAGAAACCCTGTCTTGAAGGGTGAAAGGGGGGGGGGCTATTTTTATTGGCATATTCAACTCTTTGCTGTTTTAAACATTTTGCATGGCTAGAACAGAAAGAAAAACATTCACGTAGTTTGTAATTTATACAAAATTCAACGGGTGGGAGGATGTATAAAAAATGTCAGCAAAGCTTGGCTTTTAATGCCTGTAATCCCAGCACTTGGAAGGCCAAAGTAGAAAGTTCTTGAATTTGACCCCAATCTGGGTTACATAAAGAGTACCAACCCAACCTGGGATGCCCCGTGAGACCACTTCTGTTTTTTATCACTCTTTTTTTTTTAATTAATTTATTTATTTTACATATGAGTACTCTATCTTTATGTATCCCTGCATGACAGAAGAGGGCATCAGATCGCAGAATAGATAGTTGTGAGCCACCATGTGATTGCTGGGAACTGAACTCAGGACCTCTGGAAGACCAGACAGTGCTCTCAACATCTGAGCCATCTCTCCAGCACCGTGAGACCACTTCTTAAACAACAAAACAAAACAAGGTCTCCCTCCTCCCTTGTTTCCCTAGGTGCCCGAGCAATTTCTCTCACCAGTTTCTTACACTTCTGGGTCTGCTTTCATTAATGTTAACTAGCTTCCTAATGCCACAGTTCAGGGATGTAGCAAATTTATTTAGATGTTTCATTAGAGGGACTCCCGTACTTTTTACAATGTAACTGCGTGGGGTTCTTTACAATGTAACTGTGCGCGTCCGGGGGTAGAAAACAGGTCTGGAATTTATATGGGGAGCCCAAGTTAAGGGAAAGACTTAAGTTTTTTGTTACCTTTTCAGGCTTACTTTTGTTTTGAGAACAGGATGGCATTAAAGCTGGCCTCGAACTCCCGACCCTCTTTTTTTTTTTTTTTTTTCAGACTGGATTCCGTCTGGGTAGCCGTGGCTGTCCTGGACTCGCTTTGCAGCCCAGGCTGGCCTCGCACTCCTGGCGATCCACCTGCCTCTGCGTCCCTAGCGCTGGGTTTAAAGCCTGCGCCGCCCTGCCCGGCTTCGTGGTCCTGCTTTTCAGGCTGGCCTGACAGAACGGCACCTAGCAATGCCGGAACTTTTATTCGGAATGGACCTTGTTTCTTACCGGAGTATTTTTGGCTCCAAAGCGTGCCACGCACAAACATGGTTGCCAGGTACCGGAAGTAGCCAGTTATTTTGCTGGATTCCGTTCTTCCGCGGGGCGGAAAAGGCATGTCGGCCTGTGTCCCGACCGATTCCAGTCCTCTTCCTTTGCAGGACCCCATGAACAAGCTGTGGCGGCGCGGGAGCACCTCTGGGGCTATGGAGGCCCCCGAGCCAGGTGAGCGAGGGTGGCTCTAATTTAGGTGATCTTTGGAAAGGAGTCACTCTCACTCCGGAGCCAGGTCAGCTCGCCACAGGTGGGAAGGAGCGAGGCGGTGGGGTTGTTATGGTAACAGCTAATAACGTGGGTAGAGTTGGGCTCGGTAGAGTTGTTAGGCTATCCAGTCTTCCCCTGCCACTGATGGACCGCCTCTGACAGGCTCTCCTTCTGCAGGAGAAGCGCTGGAGCTGAGCCTGGCTGGTGCCCACGGCCACGGAGTACACAAGAAAAAACACAAGAAACACAAAAAGAAACACAAGAAGAAGCATCACCAGGAAGAAGAGACTGGACCGACCCAGCCGGCTCCTGCCAAGCCCCAGCTTAAACTTAAAATCAAGCTGGGTGGCCAGGTCCTGGGCACCAAGAGGTGAGGTCTAGTATCTCGGGAAGATTCAGCAGCAGGTGGCTGGGCTTTCTAGAAAATAGAGAACGAACGTTGGCTTCAGGGTCTAGGTTAAGGCGGCAGGAATCCAAGCCGGTCGGGAAAGCTGTCTGTAGCTCCAGAGCAGGACAGAGCCACTTGTTGACTTTAGAGTAGTGTTCCTTCTCTGCAGTGTCCCTACCTTCACTGTGATCCCTGAGGGGCCACGATCACCTTCTCCCCTGATGGTAGTGGATAATGAAGACGAGCCTATGGAAGGAGTGCCTCTCGAGCAGTACCGAGCCTGGCTGGGTGAGAAGAGCCTGGAGGGGGGAAAACCGGGTTCCTCATTTATACCCAGAAACGGAAGGAGGTGGGTTCTGAGAATTGTCAGTGTCCCAGGGCAGCTTTGCTAAATCAGTGTTCTACTTTTCTTCAACTTTCCTACCCAGATGAAGATAGTAACCTGTCCCCCTCCCCGCTTCGGGGCCTGCCAGGGGATCTGGAGGGCCAGGAAGAGGAGGAGGAGCAGAGGTGGCTAGATGCCCTGGAGAAGGGGGAGCTGGATGACAATGGAGACCTCAAGAAGGAGATCAACGAGAGGCTGCTCACTGCAAGGCAGGTCAGTCAGCTCAGTCTTTATTCAGTCAGCAGACGCCTGGGAGGACTGGCTGTTTGCTAGCCAAGGGGAATATTAGTGGGAAAAGGAAAGATAGGGCTGCCGCTCATGTGCTGAGCAACAGTAAGTGATTTTATGATTTGTTTTTTCTTTTTTGAATTGGGGGTCTTACAATTTAGTCATGACTGGCCTGACACACAGATTTGCTTGCCTTTCCCTCCGAATGCTGGAATTAAAGGTGTGTATCATCACACACAGCTCATATATTTTTTTTTTTTTCTGAGTCAGGGTTTCTCTGTGTAGCCCTGGCTGTCTTGGACTCACTTTGTAGACCAAGCTGGCCTCAGACTCACAGAGAGCCTCCTGCTTCTGCCTCCGCCTCCCTGAGTGCTGGGATTACAGGTGTGTACCTCCACACCCAGTTCAGTTCACAATTTTCTTAAAACTACAGAAAATAGGAATGATGAAATAGAAATTGGCAAGACAGAAACATTAGTTGTGGGGAATGGCTTATTAGTTTTTGCTTTTGTTCTAAAGCTAATTTTTATTTTATGTGTATGAGTGTGTGCTTGCTGCCCATGGAGGTCAGAGGTCACCAGAAGCCCTGGAGCTAGATTTACAGACAGTTGTGAGCTGCTGTGTAAGTGCAGGGAGCTGAACCAGAGACCTCTGCAGGAGCAGCCAGTGCTCTTCACTGCTGAGCGCTCTTTCCAACCAAGAAATGTCATTTCTTTGAGATGACATTTCCAGCACCAGAAGAGCTTCTCAAAGAGGCCAATGACATAGAGTCCACAGGCATGGGAGTCAGAGGAAAATATGACTGAGCCACCAGTGAGGCGTATGCAGGCAATCGACATAACTGACTTAATTTTTCAGTAATCACTCTGGCGATTATATGGAGTAGGGAAGAGATTCCTGTAGGAAGCTGCTGAAGCTCAGGCTATGGTGGTGCATGCCTGTATCCCAGAGCTTGAAAGACAGGAGGGTGGTTACAAGTTCCCAGCAATCCAGGAATACTCTATCTCAGCAATCAGTCAGTTGGGAAAGGGGCATGAAATGTGGAGAACAGGCAAGATGGTAATGACTTGAGTCAAGAGGAAAGTAGTAAAGAATGAAGAAAACCCCACCAAATCCTGGGTATGTTTTAGGAGCAGCTATTTCCTGGGAGATGACTGGAGAAAAAAGGAATCCAGGGTAATTCTTTTTGGTTTGAGCCAAATCCCATTGATGCTGTCTGATAGGTTATAAAACAACAGAAGTCTACACAAGGATGCTTCAGTTTAGGCACGTGGGCCAGGCAGGCGACAACAATACTTTTGTTTTCCCCTTTGAAGCTGAGTGACGGTCAGGAGGCTTGCGAGGGGCAAGTAGTATTAAGGATTCCCAAAGGCAGGCATAGTGGCACATGCCTTTAATCCCAGTACCTGGGAGAGAAAGGCAAGAGGATCTGAGTTCGAGGCTAGCCTAGTTTACCTAGTGAGTTCCAGAAGTTCTCCAAAAAACAAACGAAAAGAAGGGGGAAATGCCCAAAGACGATGATTCTCACGATCCCGCCTTCCCTTCCCATCTTTCCAATCCCTGTACTTGGGGTTCGTGCCCTTAGGTTCTCAGACTCCCTCTCTGTCTCTCCCCAGCGAGCCCTACTCCAGAAGGCGCGGAGTCAGCCATCCCCTACCCTGCCTTTGCCGGTGGCTGGGGGATGCCCAGCCCCTGCCCTCACGGAGGAGATGCTACTGAAGCGTGAGGAGCGGGCACGGAAGCGGAGGCTGCAGGCAGCGAGGCGGGCGGAGGAGCACAAGAATCAGACAATTGAGCGTCTCACTAAGACGGCCGCTCCTAGCGGGCGAGGCGGGCGTGGGGCAGCGCGGGGCGAGCGGCGCGGAGGGCGGACGGCTGCCCCGGCCCCCGCACCCATGGTGCGCTACAGCAGCGGGGCACAGGGCTCCACCCTGTCCTTTCCTCCCGGCGTCCCCACACCCGCCGCAGTGGCGCAGCGGCCCGCCCCGTCGGGCCCCGCTCCGCGCTGCTCGGTCCCTGGCTGCCCCCACCCTCGTCGATACGCCTGCTCCCGCACGGGCCAAGCCCTTTGCAGCCTACAGTGCTACCGCATCAACCTACAGCTACGGCTGGGTGGACCCGAGGGCCCGGGGTCCCCCCTCCTGGCCACCTAAGGCCTCTCCCGTGCCACGTTTCCGCTGTCTCCTCCACCCTATTAAATTTCTTCTGGTGCCTCGGCTTGTATAGAATTGCTGGGGTGGGAGCCAGCCCACTCTGGCCCTGCGGGTGTGAGGTCAGCCAGCCAATCGGCGGGAAGTTTGTGCTTCTGGACGGCCGTTCATTGGCTGATAAGTCAAAGCGTGTCCTGTTGTCTGTACTGGCTATTGTTGCTGTCAATCAGGGACTCGGTTGAACCTTCCCCCTGTCTTTGTCTGTGTGAGTTCTTGTTGTCTGGGTGAGCGGTAGAGGCGCCGCTGCGGATTGGACAGCGGGAGAAACCTGTGCCCTTCTCCTATTGGCCAGTCTGTTAGCTAGCGTTTCTGATTGGTTGGGCTGAGCGACTGTGTCCTTTGGAGGCGCTCTGCCCGGATGGGAGCTCCGGCTGCAGAGTGATGGTGGCAGCCGCGGAGATGGGCCGGGCAGGGACCATGGCAGTGGTGGCAGAGGTGGCAGGGGCGGGGCGGCTGGCGGTGGAGGAGGCTGTGGTCTTCAGGGGTCTGTAGGTGGAGGCATGGCTCGGGCCAGCAGCAGGAACAGCAGCGAAGAGGCCTGGGGGGCACTTCGGGCGCCGCAACAGCAGGTATCCCAGCCACTCTAAAGCCTATCACGACAGCCATTTGTTTCTCTTTCCCCTTTCTTGTCACTTCCTGTCCGGGGTGGGGGAGGAGCTCACGGAGCCAAAGGTACTATGAAGTTCCTGAACATGACCATTCTACTCTTTGTGTAAACTTTGTTACATAGACGCAGTTGACTTTACCTGTAGCCTCGTAGACCCCATCTCCTGGCTGCAGTGCAAGCCTGCAGTGGCTCTCCAGTCACCAGAGGCGTAGCGAAGACCCCAGGGAGGCTCCCTCTGTCTTGCAGCAGTTATTTGTGATGTTTTTCTATGTGCCTATCGTCACAACAGAGTCCGGCAGCATCTTCTCTTGAGGGAGCAATTTGGAGACGAGCTGGAACCCAGACTCGCGCCCTGGATGCCATCCTTTACCATCCACAGCAATCCCATCTGGTTGGGAGCACTGCTCTGGGTCGCACGCTGCCTCTCCTCTACCCTAGGGAGCCTGAGACCCAGGGCTGGAAAAAAATCCATCTTGGGGGTTTGGGAGGCAGACTTTCGGGGTGGGGGTTGTTGAAAACACTTTAGCTTTGTAAGTGGCCTTAAATTCCTACCCATCGTCAGATTATGTTTTGTTTCTTCCAAAACATTACCTTACCAGAAACCACCCTTGGGGCCAGGCTTATGTGAGAGAAGTCTTGGGTTCCAAGAGCTGAAATCACCTTCTTTGTGTGTTCACTTTCTACACTGGTTCCTGGCTGTTCTAAGTCTTCTGTCCGGCAGCCCTCCATTCATTCCGACACTCCTCCTAGCACCCCATGCCGGCTCTCCCAGCCTGGCTCCAGGGTGGGACTGTGTGTGCATACAGGCGGCGGGGTGGGCAGGGTTAGGGCAGCGTCCCGTAGTTCTTAGTGCCTCCTTGCCTGCAGCCTCGAGAGCTGTGCCCAGGGGTGAACACCCAGCCCTACCTCTGCGAAAGTGGTCGCTGCTGCGGGGAGACCGGCTGCTGCACCTACTACTATGAGCTCTGCTGTGAGTCCCCAAGGGGATCGTCCCAGGCCCCGCCCACCCTCCCTCAGACGCTCCTGCGCCATGGGGGCGGGGTGGTAATCTGAGATGTGCCCTCCTTGCCTCCTGCAGGGTTCTGGCTACTCTGGACGGTCCTAATCCTTGTTAGCTGTTGTTGCGCCCTCCGCCACAGAAGAGCTAAGCTCAGGCTGCAGCAGCAGCAGCGGCAGCGGGAGATCAACTTGTTGGCTTACCATGGAGCATGCCATAGCACTGGCCCTGTTCCTACTGGTTCACTGCTTGACCTTCGTGAGTGACTTGTGGCTCTTGGGTGCAGAACCATCAGCCCCCCCCCCAAGCCAGGACCCTCAGCCACCCCACACTTCCACTGGCAGACATTTCAAAGCTCTCGTTCCCCTACTAGAAGAGATCACTCTTCCAGCTCAGGCCCTTCAATCATCCCTAATGTTCTCTCTCCTGCAGGCCTCCTCAGCTCCTTCAAACCCCCAGCCTATGAGGATGTGGTTCAGCACCCAGGCACACCGCCACCTCCTTACACTATGGCCCCGGGTCACTCCTTGACTGCTTCCAATGAATGCACCTGCTGCTCTTCCGAATCCAGATGCTCTGCCCACTTGGAGGGGGCAAATGTAGGTGGCTCCTCCCACCAGAGTGCTCCCCCTCATCAGGAGGCTGAGCCCGTGGCAGGGCTAAGCCCAGTCCACATTACCCCCTCCTGCCGCTACCGTCGCCTGACTGGTGACTCAGGTATTGAGCTCTGCCCTTGTCCTGACTCCACTGAAGGTGAGACAGTCAAGGAGACAAGGGCTAGCGCCACCCACCCAGACCCAGAGGCCCCTCCCTTGGAGCCAGCCTCCAGTCATGAGGGCATCCCATAAGTAGTTTCAGGAGGGCACTGGGTGTTGCTTGGCCACCAGGGACAGCCCTGGTCTCAGATGCAGCCCTCTTCCATGTGGGTCCCTTCCCGCCCTCCTAGCATATGCCTGAAAGGGCTGGAGCCCTAAAGAGGGGCAGTACCGAGGACTGTGCTATCTTCACTCACTCCCCAAACATACACAGGAGCCTTTACTCTCATTAAAGAGACATGAACCAGCTGCTTGTGGTTTCGGGTAGAGTAGACCTCACTGCATGCCCCCTAACACTGGGTTTGAAGGGAAGAAGCAGTGGCCATTTATCACCTCACCTGAGGATAGCAGGCAGCCCCAAGGAAAAACTGCCAAAAGCAAGGGTTCAGTGAAGTGTTTTTTTTTTTTTGTTTTTTTTCCCCCAGTTTATTTAGAAAAATAAACTCTTGAGTTCACATTCACCCCAGAGCTGTATGGGATGACAATAAGGAGACACCTGAGATGAGCTTACAAGATCTGAGGCAATGAGATCAGAAACCTAAGACCTTGTCTCTGCATATTCCAAGAGATACAAATGCCTGCCTAGCTTTCCTCTGGTCCCTTCAGTACTCTTCAGCCATGATCAGTAGGACAAGGCTGGTCCAGCCCTGGAAGGGGCGGCAGCCCATGCCCCGCCCATCCTGGTCACTGTACTGTTCCCATAGAAACCCTGTAGCCTGGTACTGCCGCCATACGTTGCTCACTACGTTGGCACGGAGTTCATGGTAGAGCTTGGCAGCCTGGGCCTTGTGAGGACCCTCCACACGCCCATAGTGGTGGAGTGCCCCCAAAGCTAGGTAGTTGGTATTCAGCCACACGGCACCCCGCCAGTAAGGTGGATCGTGTTCAGAATTACGCTGTTTATAAAAGACACTGGAGGCTGAAAGTGAACGTAACCCAAAGGGGCTCCAGAGATGGCGGCTGTCAGCTAGAACGTCCAGCAGGGGCCCCAAGCGGGATGAGCTGGGGTCCAGTAGCTGCAGCAGCAAGGGAAAAAGAGAGACATAGCCCAGGGCATCCACATACTGCAATCGTGGCAGAGGCCGGCCTACCACCCTAACCAGCCCCTGCGGGGGCCTAGACTTAAGCTGCACTGCTTTTGTGTGGTTCCCAAAGTCAGCAAAGACCCCCAGCTCAGGAGCCCAGTGCAGTTCATCAAGACTCTCAGGTTCTTCTAGGGAGGCAGCCAGTGGGCCCAGCTCTGCAGCAGCTTCAGCCTCCCCAAGCTGCTCTGCAAGCCGTGACAACACCCGGGCACCCAGTGCCACCCAGCATCTCAGGTCCAGGTGCCGCTCTGCCGTAGAAGGGTGCGAGGCCCTGGGGTAGTCATCCAGGCCTGAGGGCAGTGTCTTGGGGTTGAGTAGGGTAGGCAAAGCTAGGTCCCTGCCCCGCCAGCGGTAGGACAATGGCACAGGCCCTGCCTGACTCTGATGGAGCCAAGAGAACCAAGCATGCAGGCGGGGGAAGGCTCTGCGGAGAAAGGCCAAGTCGTCAGGGTCACCACCTTCTAGCATGTGGACTACTGGCAAGAGCAGGGTTGGGGGATTGGCATGGGCTGCACGTTGCACTAGGAATTCTGGCGGGACTCGGGCTCGGGCCTCATCCCCCAGTATCTGCTCCCGCCCAATCCAGCCATCAGCATTAAGCAGCCCTAGCCAGTGGCCGAGGACTTCACGGGTGAGGTGGGGATCCCATCGCTGGACCACTAGCTGGTGAAAGCCTTCGTCCCAAAGGAAGCCTCGTGGGAAGAATGACCGGGAAGGCACCCCAGAGAAAAGAGGGACAGGTGGAAATAGGGCAGGGTCCATTTTCTGTTCAGAACCTTCCACACCAGTGTCTGGCAACACCAAACCCTGTCCATAGAAGTAACCAATCCCACCAAGAAGGCCACTGAGGGCAACCTGACCCAAAGCCTGCTCCTCAGAGCTCAGGCCCTTCTTCTTAAGCTGGAAGGTCCTCTCAAAACGCTCTTTAAAGGCTGAAGCATGGCTCTCCAGGGCCTGGGTCAAGTAGCTCCCTACCAGCTGCCCAAAAGCTTGGTTTCCTTCTGTCCGGGCACTGCCAGACTCAAACACAAACTCCACAGAGAAAGGGGCCTTCAGTGTCACCTGCTGTATCAACAACTGTCCTTGCCCACCAGGGCCTCTGTCCTCCCACTTCAGAGATCCAGGTAAGCCAAGGTAGCGTTCAGGAGACGCCCCTGGGACTCGGTGCTGAAACCAGCTGTCTAGGCGTCTCTTTACCACATCTGTGAGCAGTGGCAGCCCAGGGTTGGAGGACCAGAAGACATTGTAGCTTGAAAGCAAGAAGACAAATAGGGACCGTTACTCTGGAAAGCGATGTCTTGCCAGTCCCACGGGTGGGAAGATGGCGGCTGGGGTCATAGGAACCACACCAAGTCAGCACCTACACCACCCCTGTGCCACCCTGCACCCTTTCCCAGTTACCTGCCATGCTTAGGGACAGTATCCCCTGGACCGGTTGGTGACATAAGTGTAAGGCGGAAGTCGCCAAGTTCACTGGTGTGCCCACTGATGAACTTCAGCTGCCCTTTGGCTCCGATCTCTGGCAGTAGGACTTCCTGGCCGTCTGTTACCACATAGAAGAAAAGGGACACCAAAGGGAAGGAAGAGGTACCCGAGGCCTGGATGACCAATGAATAGAATAAAGCATTAGAAAAACAATCTTTTGAAAATCAGCCTTAGCAGGGATTACAAGGAAGAACTGTGGCAAACACACATCTGTCAATACTGAGGCTAAGTGGATACAACCAATGGACTGAGCTAAAGGGTTCCCCAGGGAAAAGACAGATGTTTTACAATTCTACATAGACTGTTTCATTTACTCTGTGAGTTCAGTGTCACTGTGATATCTGCTTTACGAACTAGGAGATGACAGAGGTGGTCAGCAAAGCTGGTGTCCCTGTTAACCTCCATTTCCTACGGAATTTGCTGCTGACAGGGGAGGACGGGGAAGTCTGGGCTGTGGGTCCTGATGCCCTGACCTGAGGCTCTACCGTCACTCTCCAGCTCCAATCCCCTCCGTGCTGACCCCCGGGCCTCTTGACAAACTCGGTGGTGAGCTTTAAGGCCCCATCGTGGATATGTTGCCGACCGAAGGTGAGGCCATCGTGGAACTCCCAGCCATAGGGACCCACGCCGTCTCCCTGTTCACACGTGTGCCTGAGCCTAGGAGGGGTCCCCGAGATGGCGTCCTGCTGCGCCCACATCAGTCCTAGGGAGTAGAATGGCCACGTAAGTCAACAGATACTGTCCCTCTAAATCTGCCAGGACTGCTGGGTCCTCCCCACTCGCGAGCCCCAGGGTTACCCGTGAGCAGTGGTCTGGGGCTGCGAGTCTTCATGCCAAAGTAGACGTGTGGGCGGTAGGTGCCCCAGAAGAGCTCCGGGGCCACGGCGGGACTGGAGGAGTCGGGGGACAGCGCGGGCGGCGCGGGGTGCAGTGAGAGCGCCCGGCGGACACGGAGCCACGCCAGCACCCAGCGCCCCGTCAGGCCGAAGGCCAGTGCCAGCACCACCACGGCCAGGGCCGCGCCGCCCGCCGAGCCGCGCGCCCCGCCGGCCCTACCATCCCGCCGGCCGGCTCCCCGCGCCCTCTCCAGCGGCCGCGCCCCCTCTGCGGCCGCAGCGCGCCGTCGCCTCTCGCCCCGGGCCATCCGGGCAGCCGGCACGCGCCCCGGCCGCCGCGCGCTGCGTCAACTCGGCCCTAGCCGGCCGCCCGCCCGCCCGCCGGAAGTCCCGCCCCCGGCAGGCCCGCCCCGGAACCCGGAAGCGCTGTGACCGGTGCGGCTGGATCCTGAGTGCCCGGCTCAGGCGCTGAAAGGCGTCGGTAGGAGTGGGTCCTCGAGTTAGGAGAGACAAGCAACAGCACTGGGAGCCCCTTCTGATTTGTTTAGCTAATGACACGGGCTGGAGAGGTGTCGGGAACGGCGGCCGGCAAGGCTGACAACCTGTTAGGCCCTCCGTACCCACGCTGTAGAAAGAGAACTCACTTCCACACGCGCGCCTGCACCTGCGCTTACGCCTCTGACCTCCGCGTGGTAGCACGAGCGCGCCTCCACACGCACACACGCAAACACATAAAATGTTAATAAAAGCCAGGCATGGTGACGTTCGGCGTTAATCCTAGCAGGAGATAGAGGCGGGAGGTGCTCTGTTAGGTTCCAAGTCAGCCGAGGCTACACAGTGAGACCGTGTCTAAAAATACATACATACATACAATCTTCCGTATAGAGGGTGAAGCTAGAGTTGTGACTTAGCGGTTAAAAGTATTTGCTGCTTTTGCAGAGAACATAGGTTCGATTCCCAGCACCAGCATGGCATATGGCATCTTACAAATCGTCCAGAGGATCTGACGCCTTCTGGCACTGCATGCTGGTGGTGCACAGACATAGATGCAGGCAAAACGCCCATACACATAAAACAACCAGTTTTTTCATCCTTGGGGTGATGTCCAGATTTTCCTCTAACTTGCTGTCTTGCTTTCTCTATAGCCCAGCCTGTCCTTGATAGCCTGCTGCCTCAGCTACATATTTACATGTCACTGCCCAGCTCTAATATGCTAGCAGAAAACCGTGACCTAGGAAACTGGGTCCAAGCCTCAGAGATGGGAAGTGGCTAGCTTAAAACCCAATTACTACTCATATGCTGCACTTCCCTTCTTCCTGGAGTGGACTCATGAAGAAGCCTGGCGTCTGCTTCTTTCTTTCTTTCTTTCTTTCTTTCTTTCTTTCTTTCTTTCTTTCTCTCTCTCTCTCTCTCTCTCTCTCTCTCTCTCTGAGACAGGGTTTCTCTGTGTAGCCTTGGTTGGGCCAGAACTCACTCTGTAGATCAGGCTGACCTCGAACTCTCAGATATCCACCTGCCTCTGCCTTTGGAGTGCTGGGATTAAAAGGCAAGTGCCACCACCACTCAGATAGGGGTCTGTTTCTTTAAGCAACTCTATAACTTCAGACATGTCTGTTACTTACCCTGTAATTTTATTTATTTATTTTAAAATTTAAGACAAAGTCTGTACCCCAGATTGGCCCGGAACTTCTCACCTCCCCACTTCTACCTCCCGTGCTGAGGTTGCCAGCACATGTGCCACAGGTGTATTCGGCACTGGGAAGCAAGCACACAGCTTCACAGCTGATAGCCAAGCACGCTGCCAACTGAGCCACAGCCCTAGTACCCACTCATCCATCCATCCACTCACTCATTCATGGAACTTCTGTACTTTACCATTGAGCTGTATCTTAGCCCTTCACCTACCATTCTTTTCTAACTCTAATACTCTACAAAGGCATTTTCTTTCCTATGACCCAGGAAACAGAAGAACTTAGGCAAAACATGGCTTACATCTGTCTGGAAGTTGTTCAGAGGTAGTACCTGCATCTCACATTGACCCATGGGTAACTTAAGAGTCTCACAGTGCAGCCAAGGTTTCCCTAGCCACACCTTGCCTTCAACTCACGAGTGCTGAGACCACTAAGTGTGCAGGATTTGCATGCAACCTACACCTGGCTTACAGTGTATCTTAAAAGTTCTCTAAATAACTTTTACCTAATACAATGTAAATCTTGTCAACAGCTATATTATTTAGGAACTAATAACAAAGGGTAACCTGTTCCTGTTCACACAGTGGCAGTTTTTAACTGTTACCTCTATCTTTTGGGCATGTAGGTTGGTGTGCATGTTCCAGGGTGTGTGTGGATGTCAAAACACCAAGTATTTGAGGTGGTCCTTGTCTCTCCCATGAGGGTCCTAGAGATCAAACTCAGGTCATTAAGCCTGGTGGTGAGTTTTACCTAATGAGCCATCTTTTTGAGCCCCTTTTCATTCGGAGTATTTATTCCAAGGTTGATGGAATCAATACAGAACCCTTAGATAACCACTATCCTTATTTGAGAAATGAGAAAGCAAGCAGTGACAGATTTTATCTGTCCCATGTCATAGCCACTTAAGGGCAGAGGTGACTGGGATTGACACCACATCCAGCCTTCAGGGAGGTGTCTTTCTTAAAGGATAGTAGAGAGAGAATCCTCTAATGCCCATTTAGTCAGGGAAGAGGTACAATAATGCTGGGGGTGGGGTTCCACAGTTATTGTATTTAGTAAACTGCATAGCAGCCAGTATCTAAGAGATCTCTGATTGCCTTAGCTGGACATTCTTAAGTTCTCTGGCAGTGAATGTGGGCTATTTTTTTTTTCTCCCCTTGTAATTCACAATAAGGAACAAGGGGCCTGGGAAGGCAGCCCAGCAATTTGAGCACTTGCTGCGGAAATATAAAAAACTGACTTGGGATCCAGTATACTAATATAAAAAGCCAGGCAGGGTAGCATATGCCTGTAAACCACTAGGGGATGGTGACAGGAGATCCTGGAGCTTATTGGATAGCCTAGTTGAAAAGGGTAAGCTCCAGTCTCAGTGAGACATTTTATCTAGAAACAAAACAAACAAAAGACCAAACAGAGAGGAGCACCATAGAGGAAAACACCCAACCTTTGGCTTCCACATCTGCAAACACAGGCAAGTACTGCTACTATATGTATCCATACACCTACAAAAAGAAACAATGTGTACTGTTACTCAGGACTTGCAAACACACACATCCTGAATGCCTTTATTTATAAAATATACATGGTCATTTACTTAAAACTAAAGTTTCCTAAAAGAACACCCATGTGGTATGCATGGGTAACTTTTTTTTTTTTTTTTTACTGAAGACCTAGAAGTCTTTTTTTTTTTTTTTAAGATTTATTTATTATGTATATAATGTTCTGCCTACATGCATGCCTGCCAGAAGAGGGCACCAGATCTCATTATAGATGGTTGTGAGCCACCATGTGGTTGCCGGGAATTGAACTCAGGACCTTTGGAAGAGCAGCCAGTGCTCTTAATCTCTGAGCCATCTCTCTAGCCCGCATGGGTAACTTTTTTAATATAAGTATTTAATGATATATTTTTATGTGCATTGGTGTTTTGCCTGAATGTGTCTGTAAGCGGGTGTCAGTTCCCCTGGAACTTACAGGTGTGAGCTGCCATGTGGGTGCTGGGAATTGAACCCAGGTCCTCTGGAAGAGAAGCCAGTGCTCTTGACAGCTGAGCCATCTCTCCAGTCCCCCATAGGCTTTTAGACTATTTAATCCTCTAAATGATTCCATGGCCACATCAATGGACGTGAGACCAAAAACTATTTCAGGTGCTGGGAGAAGTAAGCTATTATGTACCTTAAGGGTAAGATTAAGTAGCAGAAAAAAAAAAAAAAAAAAAAAATTGGGGAAAATGAGACCAGGCAGGAGAATAAAACTGTATAGGAGACTGAATGCGAAGTTGACCAGACTGGCCTCCTGTGTACCAGCAGGTGGAACTAGCATCTCCTTTCTTTCCTTTTTCAGTGCAACCGAACTGGTTGGATGTACAGGGAAAGGGTAAGGGCATGAGAGATAACACTGCATTTCTAACCTAGGAGGCTGAGCAGGTGAGGTGCCTTTGAAAAGGGCAGGGAGGCCAGAAGAGGCCACTGTGTACAGATGGCAGACTCCACTTTCAGGAAAGAATGTCGGTGGCATATGGAGGAAGTGGGTAGTAGCTAACCACAGAAATTGGGATTAGAACCAAATAGAAATGTAGGCTTATAGAAGTTGGAATTATAGCCAAATAGAAAAGTTTAAGTTCAGGGCAGCTTAAATTATGACAGAATGAATGGCTCCATATGAGGGTAAATGAAGAGTAGACAAAAACTACTGAGAAAGATGAGGCCTGAGGCCTGAAGGTGGCCCATATCTATAATCCCAGCACCAGGAACATGAAGCAGAATTGTTTCAAATTTCTGGGCCACCTTGGGTCTTCATACCAAGTTTCAGGTTAGCTCATCGTAAGACCCTGTCTCAAAAACCAAGCAAGCAAGCAACCTAAGAAAAACAACATTCATTTGGCAATAAATATTTAATGAAAGGTACTTGGGTGACAGATGAAGCCAAATTCACGTATGTTTAAGCAGTGAGGGAAAGTGAGAAGGAAAAATTCAAATCTGTCCAGTCCCTTCACCACCCAGTCTTACTTTTCCTGCCCCACAAGCACTGTTAAGTGGTAGGGTTCTCACAGCTTCAGGCTGTTTCGTGACCTCCATGTAGCACTGTGAGTCATTAAGCCTGCCTCTTCTTAGATAACTGTCTTTAGTTCCAAACTAACATTGTGTTACTGGACTCTTCTGCGATGTCAGCGCCGGGTACCCGAACCTGGGCCGGGTTTGTCTGCCTTGGGTGCAGATGATGCCGCTGCCGCGTTCCTGACCTGGATGTGGGAGGCCAAAGCACTTAACATTTCCTGAGCCGTGAGGTGGGCGCCGCGCAAAATCAGCCGATACCCATCTCCTGGGGAGGATGCAAATCAGTGAGTGAGTCAGGGATCTGGAGTAGGCAGGGCCAGGGCCGCGCTCCGCCCTAGTCCCAGCCAGGCCTACCGAATAGCACGTCCACGCAGGGCTCGGAGCCATCGTGCCTCACGTCGGCGATCACCGAGCAGTTGAGATTGGTGGCGCGGACTTTCTCACTGCTCACCGCCTGGAGAAAGGTCCTGCAGTGGGAGGACAGCATGAACCAGAGAGCTTGGAGACCAGACGAAGGGGTGTGCGAGGCTGGGAGAGCGGGTCTGCAATACCTTGGAACAAGGGCAGGGGGTCGAGGGTGGACGCGCAGGTGTCGGGGGGGGGGGGCGGACGCTTCCCACCTCCCCAGAACCCATACCTCGTCGACTCCACGTTCTTCTCAAACGGGCAGAACTGAACTCGAACCAGCTTGACTGGCCGCAGTCCGAGCCGAGCCAAAGCGGCCGCCATGGCTACCTCCGCTCCGGAAGAAGGGCTGGGGAGCCCTTTATTGGAACGGACCGCTTCCGGCGGCCTCTGCGGTACTTCTAGAGGCTGCCAGCTGGAGCCGCCGCCCGGCCCATAATGGGCGGTGGACAAATACTTCAGCCTTCGGCAGCACTCTGTGCCACACACAGAGTATAGACAGTGAACGTACAAAACCCCCTTTGCACAGAAACATGTCGTCTCCTGCAGCCGTTTCCCTACACTATCTTGCCTGCTAGATCTAGGTCAACACCATCGTAAGTCCTAGCTCCTTCCATTGAGAGGACTACCACAGCAGGGCTTGTCCACCCGCCAATGGCAAGTCCAACCCTGGTAACATCAGCGGTAGTTTAAACGTCCTACAGCCTAAAGACTAGTAGAAATGGCGAAGGGGTAAGACAGGTTCTCCACGTGTAGAAATGCTTGTGCCACCTGTGTTTCCTTGTGACTTTTTGGCTTTGCTCCTGGGATTCAAGAGAAAGCAAGTAGCTTGCTTCTGTTTCCAGAGAGCCAACCCTATAGACCTATTTGTAGCTCTAAAATGTCTTCATTGCTGCTGATTCAGATTTCGGGCTGTAATTTGCCTGTTACTCTGGATTGTAGGTACTTGAGTGATCTTGGATTCATTTCCAGCCTGTGAGGCTTATGTATGTGTTCTACCACGCTCCGGCTGTAAGCCTCTCTAACATACAGCTCCTTGTCTAGAGCACAATATGGAACTCCTGGTCCTAGGCAACTTAGGGTTCAGGACTTGTCCCCAAGCACGAAAGAAAAGGCAGGTGCCAGCGAGAGTGCTGGTGCAGCCTCAAGGCAAGCCAGGCCTGCTGGTTTCCAGCCAGGTAAGCCTCAGGACTAGGTCCTCCTCCTCCCAGGGTGCTTAGCAGGTGAGCGGTCTGGGCTGGGGAGACTACAGGCCGTAGAGGAGGAGGCGCCAAGCTTTCCAGGCTGTTGAGGCTGCTGGTGGGCAATTCAGTGGTCTGGACCTCATTACAAAAACCTGGGAAAGCAGGAGTGGAAGGCAGGTTGGTGGGTGATGCTGATGCCAAGTCAATGGGGAAATTGGGGTGTGGGTCTCTTAAAGCAGTGATGGAGGGACTCAGAAAAACCTGGGGTTGGGGAGGGCTAATAACTTACAGCAACATGGATGCCTTCTGTGGACTGGATTCTTGGGCAGGGGCTGCCGCAGTAGACATAGCAGGGCCCCGTCCAGCCGCTGGAAGATGCCCAGGGAAAGCAGGGTCTGGCGAAGATCCCGGGACAGGCCCCACTGCTCCTGTTCCAGAAACTCCCTGACCACTCCGAAGTCTTGTTTAAGCTGCAGCGCCCCCTGCAGGCTAGAGTGTCCAGGTACAATGTGGCCACCTGACACTTCTGCCTCCCTGTTGGCATTCTCCCTCCGCCTCTACCATCTTTCCTTCCCACCTGAACCGGATCCCATGGGTGAGGATGTGGTCAAGCCAGGCACCCAGTGTGGCTGTCAGTGCCTGGCTGAGGGCAGGGGCTTGGGCTTCGGGCGGCAATCCCCGCAGTCCTTGCAACACGGGCTCCAACACGGCGTGTACCACCATCCTTGCATACTCACTAGGAGCACTGGGATGCTCTGGGGTGAGAGAAGAGAAAGGACAGATTGTGAGAATATGGAAACCCGATGGCCCCAGAGGGAAGAGCAGAAGAGGACAAGGATGGTGACGGTGATGCGGAGCCACAGCTGGGAGGACTTGGACCGTTTACATACTGAGAACCCTTGGAAGGAAAAGGTAGAAACGAGAAGTTTACCAAGACAGTGGGCTGGGGTGGGCAGGGGCGTGTGGCTCGCATAGAAAGGCTTACTTGTCTAGCTCGTATGAAGTCCCAGGTTTCATTCCCAGCACCGCAAAGAAAGAAAGAAAAATTACCAGGGCACAGTCGAAGTCTCCAGTATCGACCCCTTGGCATGTAGAGTTTGAAGCCCTGTGTGGCTTGTTTATGACATTCTTGGAAAAAAAGACTCAGTGACTCTTCAGGCAGGAGCTGTATGGGCGGAAGAAGGGAAGAAGGGCTGGCCTGTCAGACTGACAGGATATGTTTCTCCCACCTGAGGCCTCAGTGTGCAGTCTGTAAAACCCAGATGTACTGCTGAGGGAGCCTGGGCGTTTTCTAAGGAGAAATGTCCAAATGGTCTGGATGCAAACCATGCGTAATATCTAGGATTGCCAGTTCCTAGCAGTCAGAGGCACACGGCAAGTCAGGCACATTGGCCTGTGGCTGTACTACAGCACTTGAAAAGCAGAATCAGGAGCATTAGGAATTCTGACCAACCTCAGCTATACATAACAAGTTCAAGGCTAGCCTTGGATACGTGAGACCCTGTCTCAAAAAATAGAGACAAAACCCAACTTGGTTTATAACTTGTCCAAAGCATACAGTAGACAGATGGGAACCTTTGGAATGTCCTTGCATTAAGTATTCTTTGACATCTTAATTCCTGGACAGCAAATAACCCATAAAATAAGGGAGGGGGCTTGTAGCAGGCTGTGTTTTATGAAAGAAAGACAGTAATAACAAGCGTCTTTGTTTTGCTGCCTTTCTTAGAGGAGAAGAATCTAAAAAAAAAATGGAGGCATTTGGCAGAAGTTCTGTATAAATGTGAGCTGAGCACAGGCATATGACTATAGCCCCAGGGTTGGGGAAGCTGAGGCAGGAGGATTATAATACTATAGAGAGCGTGTATACATTGTATATATACACTGTATGTGTATGCATAAAAATACTATCTATCTATCTGTCTGAATTAAGATTTTAAAGAGAGGAGAACCAGCCAGGTGAGGTGGCATAACCCTGTAATCCTTGCGCTCGGGGAGGCACAGACAGGCAGATCTCTCTGAGTTTGAGACCAGCCTGGTCTATAAAACAAGTCCAGAACAGCCAAGGCTACAAAGAGAACACTGTCTTAAAAAACAAAAACAAAAACAGAGAAAGGAGAACCATGAATTAAACACTAGTAGGAAAAATGAAAAATGTAATTATGGATTGCCACTTTTTGCAGGCACTAATGAAGTCTAAGTAATGTCAGAGCCTACCACTAGGGGGTAGCAAAGGTGTATGAATCATAATTGACCGTGAGTTGTTTACTGTTAAGGCCATATTTGAAATTTTTCTGTAGTAAAGACTAAGGCAGAACAAGAAGCCAACAAAGAAAAAAAATTAATTTAGTGGAGACTCCAAGGAGACTGCAAGTCCCAACCCTGTGCTGAGTTGGCAGGCACCTCCTGTGCCAGCATCAGGGGCTTTGCTCTCACCTGCATCTTCACAGCGAGCTTCTGGATCTCCAGGCCCAGCTGCTGCTCCACCTCCGGAGTTAAGGTGGCCTCGGAGGCCAAGCTGGACAGAGCCTCCACTGCATGCAGCAGAGGCTTTAGGTGGAAATGGAGAGTGAGGGCTCAGTTCAGGCCAGACTACCCCTTCCCTGCTCCCGGTCACTCACAGGCAAGTCTTTTTGGATCAGGAGGAGGAAGGCACCGGGGGCCCATGCTGCCAGGTGCTGCTGAGCTCTGCCCAGGAACCAGAGCACGGTGGTCTGCAGGGTGCAGAGCCCCAGAGCAACAGCTGCAGGACCTGGGAGGGGAAGAGCATCCCAGGGCTTGTGGGTCGCCTTCGGAACAGAGGGAAGGAAAAGGGTAGCGACTGCCCTCCCCGCCTCCTTCCCCGACTCCACAGCTCTCTTCTCACCTGGAGGATGGCACAGGCTAAGTTCTGACCTAGGCTGTCGAAGGCTATCCGAGAGGGGAGGGAAAAGCTGCAACAGCAGCTCAGCAGTAGGAGATGGTGAAGAGGGGCTGTTCTCAGTCGCCACGGCTGATCCCAAGGCCTGGCAGAACCCTGGAACGATAGAATGTAGTCTGAAGGGGTGGGCTGATCCTTGGGTCGCCCCCAATGTCTCTTTCTCCTTACCTTGGTCCCAGCTCCCGATAAGAGACTGATGAAAAAGGCTGTGACACAGAGACAACAGCTCCTTCTCACACTCTGGAGGCAGGGATGCTAACGGGAGAAATGGCGGGGAGGGGGGGCGCTGAAAACAAAGCCTCCCTGTTTAGAGCCCCCACCCACCCCACGATACTGTTCTCCATCACTCAGTTAGAGGCGGAAAGTCAGGCACAGTAGCGCCTAGGCAGTGGGAGGCTGAGGCAGGAGTTGGAGGCCAGTACGACTATGTAGTTAAAAAACAAAAAACAACTCAAAGACCGGTGTGGAAAGCAAGGTGGCCTCGAAAAAACCTACACGCTATACATTAAACTCAGGGAAGTTCATTCTAAAGGGCCTGCTCTTGCTGACAGGCTAGAGCTGAGTGAGCCTCCACCGACTAAGGTAAAGGGAGACATACGTCCTCACCACAACCTCCAAATGCCAGCTCGGGTCCCTCACTTACCTTGACCTAGTGCCTGACTCAGCTTCTGTGCCAGTGCTCTGCGGTCGTCCCAGGGTCCCACGCTTAGGTCTAGACTCTGAGCACAGGCTGCCCACAGCAGGGTCCAATACTGGCTCCACAGGGTTCCAGGCCCTCCCAGCCTCAGTCCACCGCCGTCGGTGCTAGCCACGCCCCCTATTAGGCCCAGCAGCCCGGGCAGCAGCTCCCGCTCCTCGTCGCACTGCTGGCGGAGTTGGTGCTGCAAGCCCGAGCCGCCAAGGGCCTCTGCCAGCCTATCTGCCACCTGACAACCCCGCTCCGCAGCCAGGAGGTGGAGCACACGGGCCGTGGGGAATGGGCGCGCAGCCCCGGGGACGCAGCTCAGGGCTCGTCCCTGCAGCGTGTGGTAGAAGGGAAGGGCCAGCAGCAGTTCGGCTAGCTGGGACGTCAGGCCCAGGCTAGCCGGTGCCCGGCCTAGGGCGCGAAACTGCATCTCGATGACGGCATCCAGGCGCTGGGCGGCTAGGCCGACGGGGCGAGCCCGGAGAAGCGTCTCCGCGGGGCCCGGGAGGCCGAGGCGCAGAGGCGCCCCACGCGAGGGGCACAGCTGCAGGTCGCCGAGCAGCTGCTGCACGGGGAGGGAGCCGGCCGGGGGGCCGGAGCAGAGCAGCCGCACGGCCACCTGCAGGAGGCGGGCGCAGTCCCGGGCCCGCAGGAGCCGCTCTCGCTCGCGGTGCAGGCGCAGCAGCGTGGCCCGGAGCCGCTGCAGGGCGAGGGGCATCGGGCCGCCGGCCGCCGCGGGGGCCCACGGCTCTCGGCCGGAGTCCGGGCGCGGGGCGCTGCCCGCCGCCGGCGGCCCCCGGCGCCGCCCCTCGCCCCGCTCCTCCCCAGCGCCCACGGACTGCGCCCACGACGGGGGTACGTTAGCGAGTGGAGGCAGAAGGCCACCGGAGAGGGGCGCCCGGGCCATTGCACGGCGAGTCCCAAACGAACCTAACGCTCGCCGCCTCCCCGCACCCCGCGGCGCTCCGTGCGCCGGCACTCACCAGCGAGCCGCCGGAAGCTCCGTGGCCTCTCTTGCGCCCCGTAGCCGTGGCCTTGCCCCTAACAAAAATGGCCGCCCGGCCGCCAGTTCCCGGCCCCTAAGGGACATCAAAGTCTAGTTCGACTTGCTCGTTCCTGTCATGGTGGACGGGAGGTGGCGCTAACGGCAAACGCTGTAGGGCGCGTCGAGCTAGCTGAATGGTGTGACCTCTGGCCCCTCCATTCGGGCTCCCTGACGTCGTCCCACTTTCCTGCGGTCTGACGGCCCTCTGGGGCCCCTGAGGCTCCTGATTTAGCAACGAACTCGTTCTAAAAAGAGGAAAAGAAAAGAGGAAAGCGAGACCTCAGCTTTCTTTTGCCCTGATCATTGTCTCCATGTTTGTTTGTGGATTTGATGTTTTGTTTTGTTCTCTTTGAGTCGTGGCTAGCCTGGAACTCACCATGTAGACCAGGCTGGTCTTGAACTCACAGTTGTCTGCCTGCCTCTACCTCCTCTGTTGAGGTTAAGAGTGTGTGTATGTGTCACCACGGCCAGCCTCCTTCATGCTTTCTTTCGGTCGTCTTTGGGAGCTTTGGGAGTCTGCAGGTTCCGGTCCTACTCCTAAAGATTTTAGGCAAACGAACAGCAAGAGGGGACCCCCCCCCCCCAGCCAGGCTGCTGCTCCAATGCTCTAAGTAGGCAAAATTGAGCATTTGAGGGCCTCATGGTTGAGGACTAAGTGGTGGTTACAAGTGTCTTTAGAAAGATAGTGTGACAGAGGATGAGCAAAGACCCCAAGCAAGGAAAAGAAAACATCACAATAGCCCAGCACTCAACACGTGGAGACAGGGGGTTGCTTAGAGGCAGTCGACACTTTGCCTACATAGTTTCAGGATAGCCTGGGCTATAGCGAGATCCAGGCTCTTGAGAGTGGCTTGAAGGCCAGGGGGTTAGCTTTCCTGAAGTAAATGTACAGTTACTGAGGGAGAGACCAAAGGATCAGGTTGGGACCATTGAAAGGCCAAACTTCCAGCGACTTTCCTCGTCACTTTTTTCTAGAATCTCAGAGTCAACAAGTCCTCAGGATAAGGACACAGGTCATGAAAGGACTCTGGCTAGCCCCACTGTGGCAAGAATGGCTCTGGTAGACCTTTTCCCATTCCCTCCGCCTTGCTAAAAACCTTAGGTTATATTCCTAAAGCTAGCCACCAAGGCCTATTCCCTTATTTGGCCACTTCTCCCGCCTGAGGCTGACTACCAAGGTCCAGTATCAAAGTATTGAAGTCCAGCAATCAAAAGCCTCTTAGCTCACCTAATTAAACTCCCCATCCTAACACAAGGGTTTCCCCTTTACCTTTATAAACCTCCATTTGTCTGAGGGCCGTGTCCGTCTCCTGCCACCCAGAGGCAGCCCTCTGTCCTCCAGGAGGGATACTCTTTACTCCTCTCACTTGCCCTTTTGTCTCCTCTCCTTCCTTTCCTGCCCTTCTCACTCATGCTCTATCTCCTGTCTTTGCCTCTCATTCCCATCCTTTGTCCCTCTGGGGCAAGTTAAATCTCCTTTGTGCTGAGAACTTGGTCTTGGGGGTCCTGAGTCAATACTGATCTAATACAGGTCACATTAAGAATTGGCTCCAGAGCCCAACATGATGGCACACGCCTTTAATCTGAGCACTCAGGTTGATGTGAGTTTGAGGCCAACCTGGTCTACAAAGTGAGTCCAGGACAGAGAAGGCTACACAGAGAAACCCTGTCTTGGGGGTAGAAAAAAAAAAAAAAAGAATTGGTCCCAGCTGCAGATTCATGACCCCACAAATTCAACAGGTTTCAAAATTAACTAACTGAAGCTGAAGAGATGCTTCAGCTTAACTGCTCAGGCAGAGGACCTCTGTTCACCTGAGGCAACCTGTAACTCCAGTTCCTGGGGAACTGATGTCTCTGGTCTCTGGGCACCTGCACATGCCCACAAGTGCAGGTATCTTATCCGCCTGATTTCATTGTCTCAAGGATTACTGCCTCAGTCTGCTAACCTAGGCTTAGACCTGGAAGCTTCTAGCCTTCTAACTTAGGCCTAGAATGTTTTCAGCCTCTGAGACTTGCTCACCCTTTCTAGCTCTTTCTGAACTAGCTAGCTGGTTCAACATAGCTGATCTGGCTCAAAGTCCTCTCCAAGCTGACTGATTCAAACTCTCTGTTTCTGACCAAATTACCCTGCCTGGCCTCGTACTAATGTTATCAATTTGCTCTAATCTTCTGGCTCCCTCTCAATCTCTGGCTCATTCTGTCTTCACCTGTGTCTAGCTTGTTCTCTCTCTGCAACCTGTTCTGTCTCTGTAAAACCACCCCAGTAAAACTGCCTCCTCTCTCTCTCTCTGACTCTGCACTGCTCTCCCAAGTAGCATCTCTCTCCTCTCCTTGTGAGAGTTGGGGATATCCTGTTTTGCTAAATCTTGCCCTGATCTGTGACTTTCTCTGACTCTTGCACTTTAAAACATGGATGCTTCTTTCTACAAACTAACTTTGCCGTCATTGTTTGGGGTTAAAGGAGTGTACTAAGGGCGTGTCTGCATCCCAGCTAGAGGGGTTAAAGGTGTGGCCAGTCTTCATTTCAGCCAGATCACATAGACATAAGTCTTCCAGTGTGATTCCTTGCCACAGCAAAAATGGTTCTGGATTAGAAGTCCTTTGCACCCACACAGAGATACACATAATTGAAAAGTGAAAGGTACTGGGGGCTGGAGCCATGGCTCAGTGGTTAGGAGCACTAGCTTCTTTTCCAGAAGTACTGAGTTCAATTTCCAGCAACCAGATGGTGGCTCATAACCATCTGTAACATGATCTGAAGCCCTCTTCTGGCACCCAGGCATATATGCAGATAGAGTACTCATAAACATCAAATAAATCTTTTTTTAAAAGTAAAAGAAACTTTAAGTTATCTTTTATTTGGCTGGTTTTTTGTTTTGGTTTTTGGCTCATAGCACACACTTCTGTTTACTTATGAAATCTTGAGCATCCTTCTGTTACCCCTTTGTCTCAGACATGTGGTCATCCGCTAGAATGCTTTGCTTTGCTTTGCTTTGCTTTGCTTTGGGAGGGCTGGTGAAACGACTCATCGAATAAGGGTACTTGCTTCCGAGACTGACAACCTAAGTTTGATCCCTGGAACCCACATGGTGAAGGAGAAAATCAGACACACACACCCCCAATAATAATCTAAAACCCTTCTATTCCATGAGGTAGTAGTATCCATGAAAGATACCGATCACATCACAGTTTGCCACACACTCTTTTAGCGAGTGGTTAAAGATAGCCTCCCTGAGAATGGGACATTTAGGCCAAGATCTAAAAGGGGCAGGAGAGGCAGCCCATTGGCCGGGAAAGAATATTCCAGGCAGAGGACATAAGCGCCAGGTCACAGGCGGTGGGGAAAGCTCTGCACAATGTGTGAAGTAGATCGGCCTTCATTCACAGTGGGCCGCCACCCCACGGTGTCATTAGGCGCCTTAACGCACAGCAGGAAAAGATGGGCCCACAGTGTTTCTAGAAAGACTTAAGAGCCAGATGAAAAAATATTTGAGATTAAATATTAAAAAAAGCCCTTGGCTCTTTTGGGACATGGGATGCTAAAATTACACTTTGTAACTAACCACTGATCAGACAGACTAAAAAAAAATGAGAAAAGATGGAGGGCTAGAACGGCAAAAGGTCTGTGTAAGAAGGGTCAGGAAAAACACAATCAGAAAACTTAGATGCTGCTGACAACCTTAAATCAGATTAAGAGGGTAGGCAAGTCTCCAAGAGTCAAGGTCCAAGTTACCAAAGAGAGAAACCTCAAAAGGAGCAAGACAGAAGGGAGACTCCAGAGAGAAAGAAGAAATCAAGGTTAAAAGTGGAGAGAGAGGGGCCATTCCAAGGGCAAAGTCCTGTCCTAGAAAGAAAACGAGGACTAACACCCTTCCTTTCAATGAGAATTAAAAGACATTAATAAATGTCTCCTCCAAAATTGCAATTACAGAGTTAACATGCAGATATTTTTGGCTCTCTGTCTGTTTTCTTTTCTGCCATTTCTTGTTTGAAAGGTCATATTCCTTAACATCAAGGTCATTTTGATAATATGTCAAGGTTCTTCTAAAATGGAAACTATTTTTTTTTTCTAACTAGAGGGAGAAAGAAAGGTAGTAAAAATTTGAGCAAAGAAAAGGCTTGCTTAAGACTTGCAATGAAAAAGGTCGGCGGCTAAAAGTATCTGTATGGGCAATCTCAGTTTGTTACAAATTTGTTTCAAGGTGCCATGTATGTTATTTGTATTCAACTGTTATATAGAGGAATGAAATTAGAAAATAACGGTAAAAGGGTATAAGAGAATGTTGGAAATCATTTAAGTAAAAAAGAAAAGGCAGAGATCAGAGAGATGGCTCAGAGGGTAAGAGCACTGGGTGTTCTTCTAAAGGTCCTGAGTTCAATTTCCAGAAACCACATGGAAGCTCACAACCATCCTTAGCGAGATACAGTGCTCTCTTCTGGCGAGCAGGCACACATGCAGGCAGAACACTATATAAATAAATAAATCTTTTTTTAAAAAAAGGAAAGGAAATATTGTGGATAAGGATGAATTTTGCATGATAAAAAGATTCTGTTCTAAGAGTCAAAAAATAAAGGATGGAGCCAAACCCTGAATGACTAAAGCCGAGTCAGAGGGACTAAATTGTATGAGGATAGAATTTAAGGGTGACCCATATTCCGATGATTACAGTTTATTTAACTGAATAACATTGGACGGGAGAGACGGCTGAGCCGGTACGAACACTAGCTGCCCTTCTGGGGGGCCTGGGTGTGATTCCAGCGCCCGCAGGATGCCTCACAACCACCCACAACTCTGCTTCCAGGGGGTCAGAAGCCTGATCTGACCTCCACAGACACAAACATGCACACACTGCGCCCCCATTCACGCAATTAAGACACTCACACAAATAAAACGAACAAACCTCTGAAAATCACCAAGGTTACACTGATCAACTTGTCATGATATT